TCTACAGTGTTGGCACTGTTGTTGTTGTTATTGTTGATGCTGTTGTTGTTGATGTTGTTGTTGGTGTTGTTGATGTTGTTGTTAGGGTTGTCACTATTGATGATGTTCCAATTGCAACCGATATTTGCGCTGTGGGTTGTAGCATTGGTATCTACAGTGTTGGCACTGTTGTTGTTGTTATTGTTGATGTTGTTGTTGATGTTGTTGTTAAGGTTGTCACCATGGTATGATTGTTGTTTACATCATCAATATTGTTGGTGATAACATTGTTATAATTATTGCTGTTGTCGTAATTGTTGTTGTTATAATTATAACGATTGTTGTTTTTATTTAGTAGTCTATTTGAAGGTAGAATGTTAGACTGTACTTGAATGTTCATGGAGGGATTTTTGTTTTGTATGAAAATTGATTCAGCTATTTTCAGGTTTGTGATGTTGTTATTGCAATAAACTATTTGCGTGTTATTTAACATTTGTCGTGTTAAAGTGATGTTATGCTGTTGTTGATAATGTTGTTTAATTGCTCCATCTTGTAGATGCATGGTCAAACGACTTGACAAGGTGGTAGTTGTCATTCCAATATATGAAGCATTGTTGCGGTGCGAACATTCACCGACGGAGCATTTATATTCATATATTAGATGACTTTGTTGTAGTTGAGTAGTTGCAGGAAGGCAATTATTTTTCATGATTAGTTGAGATGTTTTTAAATTTTGATAGTAAATTCGAAGAACAACTTTATTAATTGGATTTGACGCTACTACGTTTCTGCGTATTATTCCTTTTAAAATTCTTTCATCTTCTTTATACGCCATTGAAAAGGTATTTTTGTAATAAAATATTATCTTATTTTTGTCATTCATTTTGTTGTTGATTTGGTTTCTAATGATACGGCTGTTGTTGTTGCTGTTGTTGTTATTGTTGTTGTTATTGTTATTACTGTTTGTGGTGAGGCTTGTGATGCTGTTATTATCAAAGTTATTAGACGTGGTAGAGGGGTTGCCATTATCTTCCTGTTCATTGTTGTTTGGAACGTTGTTGGTAATTGCATTATTTTGATGTATATTTTGTGCATTTTCATGACATTTTTTGGTTAATCTATTTATGACTTGATCAATTTGTTTCAAAGAGTAATTATTGTTCACGAGAAGTTTTTTTATTTTTAATAATTCTGAGTTGATGAGTGTATAATCAGAGCAATGTTGAAACGCTCTGTTAACTAAAGAAAATATAACACTATTTTTATATTGTTCTGAGGTCTCGCTTTTACCATTAAGACAAAATCCCAAATTGGTGTCTTTTACATAAACTTGCGTTTGAAAACCAATGTCATTTCTGGTTATCAGGACATCGAAAAATGGTAGCTGTTTATTATTTTCAATTTCATGGGTAAAGGAAAGAACTGAGTTGGATTTAAATTCATCAATTAGGTCCATCAAGTTTTCATTTTCTACTATAATGAACGTATCATCAACATATCTTATATACATTTCGGGTTTGAGATGTGGTTTCTTTTGGAAAACAGTTTCTTCTAAATATCCCATGTAGAAGTTTGCAAACATCACTCCTAGAGGAGAGCCCATGGCTACACCATTGACCTGCTGATACATTTTTCCATCAGGAGTGTAGAAAGGAGCTTCTTTTGTGCAGATTTGAAGTAACTGTTTTAGCAGATGAGGTTTAATTTTTAGTGGATTCATAGCACTATTATATACATAGTTTAAAATAATATCTATTGTGGCATCAACAGGAACGTTAGTGAAAAGAGATTCCACATCTATTGATGATATGATGCCTGATGATGATCTAGTTTTTAGGATGTGAATGAATTCTGATGATGAAGAAATGCAATGTTCATTTGGAATATATGGAGTTAGGATGTTGTTGAGCCATTTTGCTACATTATATGTGACTGTTGGTATTTGACTAATTATTGGACGAAGTGGGTCGCCAGTTTTGTGAATTTTGACAGTACCATACATATAACCTGGTCTGTAGTCTCCAGTTAATAGCGGTATTTTATGTTCTGTTGAATTTGCATTGATTTGTCGAATAATTTGGTTAGTTTTCGTTTTAAGCGATAGTGTTGGATTTTTAGTTATCAGTTTAAATTTAGTTTCATCTTTCAATATGTCATTTAATTTAGATAAATAAGTTTTATTGTCTAATATTACGTATAAATTAGATTTATCGGCTTTCAGTATTTTTATATTTTTATTAGTTTTTAAATTTTTAGCAGCAATTTTCAATTCGTTCGTCAACAATTTGCTATTACACGAATTTCGTCTTTTGTTAGATTCACTTAATAATTCATTGGCTAATTGTTGATTTACTTTCACATTTCCTAATTGTTCTTGTTTCCAAATTTCATTTATCAACATCTTAATCTCAATATGTTTATTTATTTGTGGTTTGTTTTTTATGAGGTGACAATTTAAGCCGAGGTTCAAAAATTGTTTTTCATCTATTGTCAACTGATGGCTACTAAGATTAAGGAAATGATCTTGGTGTTGTGGCAACAAAACTGGTCCGCGATATAAATTGCTAAGTTTTTTCCTAATTCGTTGGAAACAATGGTCTCGATGGCGTTCTTTGATGAAGTTGATTTCATTTAACGATCTTTCATCAATCGAGTCACTTAACAATTTTATTGACGCTTCCATATTTTTAAAAAGTTCTTCTTTTCTTGATAACTCATTCAAGAGTAATGTTTTTCTGTTTTTGATTTCTGCAGAAATACTCCGTGATTTAGTCTGGCGTGTCAATGTAAATTTTGGTAACAGACTGTTGTTAACGCAACATTTCAAAAATTCAACACTACTTTCAACATTGCTGACAATCTTGCCGTTAAAAATTTTAAAAATCGCGTTTTATATTGTTTATAGTTATTAAATTTATTTTATTGGTTTTCTGTTTTAATTAAATAATTTATATAAATTAATAATTACTTGTTCCTTCTTATCAAATATCTTACATACCTTATATATAATGCACTGAAGATGATTATCTATAACTCGAAATAGCTATTTGCAAATTTATTTAATAAAAATTTTTAAAAAACAATAAAATGTCTAATTTCTCTGAAATTAATAAATTAAAAAGAAATATAAAAAAGTTGAACAATGTTGAAAGTAGTGTTGAATTTTTGAAATATTTATATATATATATATATATACACATATATACATATATATATATATATATGCAAATTTCATTGAATACCTTTACCCACTTAGCACCAATTAGCCTTCTGGAAACATACTCAACGATATGGAATTGCTGCAAATCCCACTTATTGAGAACCAATTTGGCTGGCTAAAGTTAGCCAACCAAATTATGTCACCAGTTCTCAATAAACACGATTCACAACAACTCCATATCGTTGAATGCATCCTCAAAAAGCCAATTAATGCTAAGTGGGCAAAAACATTCAATGAAATTTGCATTGCTGAAAACCTCGTCACAAAATACATATATATATATATATCATACATAAATCAAAGAGGAAGACAAACGTGAAAGAGCAAAATTCAAACAAGTTTTTGGTGCGTCATCTTGTTGGCACACTATAGCACCATTTCGAGAGCTGAAAAACAGTAAAATACAAAAAATATAATAATAAAAATCTAAAAAAATTCAAATTGGCTAACAAAATTGTTATTAGTCAAAAACAAAACATACACAAATTCTAGTTTTGTCAATTAATTTTCTTAAAAATTGTTTGTAGCAATTTCTCAAAACAAAATTACTGACAAATTAAAAAAACTCTATTTAAAAAATCTAATAAGGCATATTGGACAGGCTACATATACTTCCATTATTTCTTAAAAATAATTTAAAACTTCTTAATTAACAAGTTGAAACCAGTAAATTTGCAGAGATAAAAAAAAACAATAAAAATTTTGAAAAAGCTCTCATCTGCAATCGAAAATGTTTTAATACTTTCTATTGAAAAAAGTAATTGTAACTTTCCATTATGTCATTTAAGCTGAGTTTCAAGTTGGGTATAGGTACTACATAAAAAAATCAAAATACTAAATCAAAACAGTCCGCAGCAAAGTCCCAAAAATTTTGAAAGTTGATGTGAAAATTCATAACTTGTTGGACAGCAACATATTTGGGAAAGTCATTATTATTACTATGTAGTAGAAAAGTTTAAAGGTAAGCAAGTACACAAAAGCATATGCATGACATTAATTAACATTTAATGTGATAACTGGAAAGGACACATGACCAATTAACTATCCAGCTTGAATATTCAGTCTTTTGTTGTCAACTGTTTGCACATGTTTGGAGTAAAATTGATAAAAACCCTGTAAAACTTAGAGTTAATAACGTTATGGCCAAATTAAAATATAAATGAAATTTATCTCACTAATTTTTTACAACAATTTTTATTTTTTAATGTCAAAATCTTTTTTATTGTTATTTTATTTTGAATAAAATTTTACAAAAAAAAAGATTCAAATTTTGTAAAATTGATAACACTTCACAAATGGCCTATGGCAGGTAATGGTTTAAAATAATATATATATATCTAGATCTAGCGTATTTCTGTGATTTACGAATTACTGTTATTATTACTATTGTCATTCAAATATATGTTTAAACCATTTTTGGTTTAAAGCAGTTGTTTTTATCAAAAGTCAATTAATCTACGAGCAATTAATCTAATAGTTATAATAAGAATAATAATAATGTAATAATCTAATAATAATATGATATAATCTAATAATCTAATCAGTTAATCTAATACCTTGACGATTAAAAATTACAATTCGTGTTATGTAATTCAATGGCTTGTATTTTAAAGGAACTTGAATGTAACGTCATTTTGCTCTAGAGAACAATCAAAAATATTTTTCTTACCAATGAAATGATTTTTATTATGTACTAAGCTTTTAAATTAATCAATATTTAATTTTGGTATAGGTTTTTCCGTTATATGCAGACATGTCAAAATTCAAAAGGAGAGGTTTATTATCAAACTCGGATAAACTGCTAACACTATTATGTGAATGGGATAATTGCACTCATATATATGATAATATCGACGTTTTCATTGACCATGTTAAATTTCATCTTCAACATCTTACATATGATCGCTTTGTTTCTGGTTAGTAATAATTACGTTTTTTTGTTTTATAATGCTTTTTAATTTATATGATTCACTTTAGCCATTACATTTTATGGGGAAAAGTAACTTAAAACACTTTTTTAGTTCTAGATAAAAATGGGTGATAATTTACGAATAGCAATAGCATCTTTTGTCTAATAAAATTTATTGAAAAATTTGTAAAACATTCAATTCGTCATTGAAGTTATCACATACGATTTGTCGAATTAAACAAAATAGATGGCTGGTATTACACACAATAACGAAAAGTAAAAAAATAACTCAAGCTAGTTAAATGATCTCAGAGTTTTCAGTAACATCGAAACAAAATCTGTATCAAAACATCTTTGGGTGAGAAAAAGCAAAGCAAAAGAAGGTACTGATTCTGGTTCTACAATTCTGACTAAGACTTTTGTGCTATTCACTACAGAAAAAGTCTTTTCCAACACATATCAGAATAACGTTGACGTTTTAAAAAAGAATTACGAGAATTGAATTTTATGACATTTAAATTTGTATAATTTAAATGTCATAATTTGTATAATTTAAATGTCATACGTTGTTGAATGTAGAGCCGGTGCAATTTGATCAATTGATGAGTGAAGTTGAGCAGGTTGAAAACTTATTTGGCCAGTTTGCTCTAAACACGTAGAAGGAAAAACTTAGTATGAAGGATGCACCGATTAAGAAAGATTTGCACAAGATAGAACCAGACAGCGAATTGCGGTAAAAAATATATGACAAATCAACCTGATCATATAGTAACAAGATTTTTTGATAAAAAATTTAAAGTTGAACAGACAGCGGAGAAGAGCACTTTAAAATTTTAAAAATAATCTTCAATAAGTTATTGAAGATTGCCGAAAAACATAACAGGGGAGGGAAATGTATGTTTGACACATTGAAATTGGTTAGCAAGATGTGACTGATGGCAAATTCTAACTCAAGTAGCATTTTATATTTGATAGTGTCAAATGCAGCTGAAAACTGAAAAGAGGTTGACAATTTTTCTTGATAAAATTATGGATGAAGACGAATAAATTTAGTAGTCAAACTTTCGAACTTGACTTATACACGACTTCGTTTTTTTTTGAGTAACCTAGGGGAAAATGGTAGATAGAGTATTATGGAAGCGATGAGCTATGTAGAATAGCATGTTTTTTCAAGAATAATGTTATTAAGTAGAAATGGTTTCATGACAGCGAACGACGAGACTCGTTTGGCGACTACTTGAGTTGCGTATACAGCTTTCCTTTAACATGTTTTATTGATATGTAATCGTCTAAAATGAATATATTCAATTTTTGTCCAGCTTCTTTTAGTTTGAGTTATTTGATGATTGACCGAATACTTTCTTTTTTTAGGCTACATGATTTCTGGTTGATTTAACTAACTAGTAAGCAATGACACACAATTAGTCAATATAGACATGTCAATAGCATTCAGTTTTGAGTTTTGCATAGCTTTTAGATATAGGCTTAATATTAAAAAAGTTCATTTTGGTGTTTTTCTAAGGATTTTCCATTTCTTAATTTTTTTTTAGTTTTCCAAAATACTTAATTTAATTTTTTAGGGTCATCGCTTTGTCTGTGGCGAGATTGTGCACACGAAGGAATATTTGTCAATTTTGACGAATTTAAAAGACACGTTTTTTATCATGCCTTCCATCAAAAAATAAAAAATGTGGGCCTTGTTGCTATAATGATGAACAAATCTCATTTGAATATCAATAAATGTGTGTTTGATAACGATAATCGCAATGTGATTCCTGATCTTCCTTTTGATTTTGTTTGTCAGTGGCAAGGTTGTGGGGTAAGTTATTTATTTATTCAATTTTGTTTTAGAAAAATTAATAAACGTTATGAAAACAGCATCCAAAATTTATTTTAATACGACATTTTTCTATATACAGTTTCTATTTTGAAAACAGAATTAATTGCCTTCGACATTGTTGTTTGTACTGAAACGTCAGCTTTGTCTTTTCCAGAACAACCTAACACATACCCCAGATAGTGAAATGCCATTTTACACCGCATAAGTTACCCTGGAACTGATTGTGACTGATCATAACAAAGTTTTTTGTAAAATCAAGATAAAGTTAGAGAAAATTAAAAGTGAAGTGGCCCCAAAACGTTTGAATTTTGCCAGTCTGTCATAAATTGATGAGATCAATGTCAGGTACAACTTTGAAGTACGGAATCGTTTCAGTTAATAACGGAAGACGAAAATAAATCTAAATATGAAATATTTAGAGATGCCTTTACAAAATCAGAAAGGGAAATTATTCCTGTGAAAGAGCAAAGAAGAGGTCAGAAATGGATAACAGATGACATAGAATCTCTGATGAATGAACGAAGGAAAGTGAAAAGATGCAATCCTGATACAAAAAGCTGGACAAAACAATGAAAAATGTGCTTAGAGGCAAATGAGAAATAGTTGGATGACATTGAAATATTAAAAACTGTAATACAAATGCACTATTATAAAAACATCAAAGAAATCTTTGGAAAAGGGGTTTGTACCGTTTTTGGATGTATAAAAGCTAAATCCGGTGAAAGAATAAGTACATGAAAGATGGACTGAATACATCAACGATCTTTTCGATGATATCCATGATGAAAAGCCTTCTATTAAAAAGACGTAGAAAGACTAAAGATGCGATCTGAAGTTCGTGCCGCTCTTTCCAAAATGAAATCAAAGAGCCGGGCTCAATAATCATTAATGGTAAATAGATGAAACAAGTCAACAGCCTCAATTATCTTGGAAGTTTGATTATCTCAGGTTGAAATTGTAATGTGGATATCAAACGAAGGATAGCTACGGCGAAAGATGCATATTCTAAAATGAAAAACATCCTCACCAACAGTAAAATCATAAATTCAACAAAATTAAAACTATTAGGGTGTTGTATTTTTCTTGTGCTCTGTTATGGCTCTTAGTCCTGGATGATTTCTAAGGAAATAAAATACAGATTAATGCTGCTGAGATGTGGTTTTTGAGAAGAATTAGGGAAATTATTTGGACCTATCATACCTCCAATGAGGATGTATTAAAACAGTTTGGTTATGAAAAGAGGAAATTTCTACAAATAAATCCAACGGCGGCTGTTTTTTGGTCACATCATGCGGAAGGAAAAAACGGAAAATCAAAAAACTACTGGAAAGATTGCAGATTAAAGTAGTCCTTGTGTCACTTGTTGAATATCACTACATTTCAATTGCTAAAAAGTGTTATAGATCGGGTTTCGTGGAGGTCGATGTTGCTTATGTCTTGAAAGGATAAGACTTGGTGTATAGAACACAAATTATTTCACTTAACTTACGCATGGAGCATCTAGAAAAACTGCCTTTTTCATTTTATTAAGTCCTTAATCCAATGATTTAAAATTTATTTTTTAATTTACTTTTTATACTTTTTATACTTTCATTGTATATTTTATCGATTGTGATATTTTTTCTAATTGTTTAAAATTTAAAATTTCTTGTCCATATTAATTTATTAGTTGTTATCTATTGTGATATTTTTTTTCTAACGATTTATAATATTGGAGTTCTTGTTTATATGGTTTTAGTTAAAGTTGTCTTTAGGTTAAGGTTGTGACATTAACGTTACATAGCATTACATATAAGTTTTAACATTAACAGCTAGCGAAAGGCTATTAATATTAGTTTAAATGTTTGTGAAAATCTAAATTATATATGATTTGTAAAATTTTCAGAAAAAATTTGAAATACCCTATCATTTCTATGTTCATGTGTCATCGCACATTACCAATTACGAATTGGGCGACGGAAATAAAAGCAAGTGGAGGTGTCATTGGGACAGTGAGAGCTTTTTAATTGCATTTAATTTAATTGTTTTTAAATTTATTTTTCTCCCGCTTTTCAATAAAGTTTTTCAACTCTATTTCTTATAGTCACACACCGTGTAAATGTTTGTAAGGATTTGTTTTTATTGCAAAATTTAATTTAGTGAAAACTTTTAAATTAATATATATAATATATTATATATTATTATTATATTATATATAATATATTATATTATATTATTAGCATAATAATTGTTATTTATAAGCTATTAAAAAATTCAATAAAAATTTTAATTTTGTGTTTTTGTGTCATCAAAGTCTGTTGATGAACTTAAAATTTTCCGTGAGAAGAACAAGACGTCAAATCGCACTGGCTCGGACAGATCAGTGCAGAGAGTGGCTCACTAAAAGCAAAGGTGGACAAATGAAATCTCTGTATCGTATAGCAAAACAAGCAAAGCGTACGAAAAAAGACATAGTTGGTGCCTCATGTATCTAAAACGACAAAAATGAGAAGGTTCTTGAACAAGATGAGATCAAGCTACAGTAAAGAGAATACTTCAACCGTCTGTTAAATGAAACAAATCCAATCAATGTCAACTTTGACGCTCCACCCATCGAAGGTTCGATTCCAGACATCACTGTAGAGGAGCTTACAGAAGCTCTGAAAGCTATGAATGATGGAAAGGCAGCAGGATCCTCTGGACTCACAAATGACATTATCAAAGTATCTGGTACTGCAGGTATCCAAACGTTACTACAACTTAGCCGTGAAGTGTGGAGAAATTGCTCAATGCCGACTGAATGGAACTATAGCATGACAGTTCCGCTATACAAAGGCAAAGGTGATCCATTGAACTGTTCATCATATCGGGGTATACGTCTGTTAGAACACTCCCTGAAAATTGTCGAAAAAATCATTGAGAAAGGATTAACGTCGTGCATCACAATCTGAAATTATCAATTTGGTTTTCTAGCGGGGAAATCAACAATTGCAAGAGAAGTACCTCGCAAAGCATCAACAACTATCACATATTTTTGTAGACCTTGAAAAGCATTTGATCGAGTTCCCCGTGAAGCAATCAGGTTGAGTCTACGTCGACAACTCATTCCAGAATATCTTGTTCGACTTGTGATGGAAATGTATACGAATACTCAGACTCTCGTCAGCACAACGGTTGGAAACACAGATGCATCGGCGTTGGGGTTCACCAAGGCTCGATTCTCAGTCCACTGTTATTTATAACTGTGATGGAAGAAATCACAAAACCGATACGGACTGGTGACATTTGAAATTTAATATATGCTGATGGTAATGTTTTAACAGCCACGTCTGAGCAGAATGCAACACAGATGTTTGAATATTGGAACAACAAACTCGCCGATCATGGATTCAAAGTCAACATCAGCAAAACCAAAGCAATGAACACTGCTGAACCCATCCAATCCACAGCTACTGGACGATGGCCCTGTTCAGTTTGTAAAGCTGGTAAAACAATTCAATCAAGTGTCAGTAGTGTAACAGTTATGTCACAAACGTTGTTCAAAAATAATTGGTGCTTTATTTAAAAATTCAAATTTTGTTTGTTCTGCTTGCATCAATCCACAACAACAAATTCGAAATAACAATGTTTTTGAAGCCATTAAGGTAGAGAAAGTCACATCGTTTCCATATCAGGGAGATGTTCTGGATTGTACTGGAACAGCTGAAGCTGCCGTTCGAGCAGCATACGTGCAGCCTGGAAAAACTGGCATCTCCTTGCCTCTATATTGATGCGGCGTGACATCCCACTACCACTAGATCGAGACTTTATAAATCTGTGATATGTCCGGTGTTGTTATATGGTGCAGAAACATGGCCAATGACAACCAAACTGAAACAACAATTTCAACAAACCGACATGAAAATGCTCCGATGGATGCAACGAATTAGTCTGATGGACCACATCAAATCTACCGAAATCCTGCGTCGTGCTGGTTTAGATGATATGAAGGACGAATGCCGGCAACACCGGTCATGTTTGGTCAAACGAAGTGGAAACAATTCCATAACTTCTCTTGCAGATGTTGTAGTACCTGGCACACGTCCCAAAGGCCGTCCAAAGAAATCCTGATCGCAAACTATCGAGCAAGACTTGAAAGCTCTAAATTTAAATGAAATGGATACAACTAATCGTCTAATTTGGCGCAAAAAGTTGATGGCAATGAAAACAACGTCCTACCTCGGGAAACTGGGTCTCTGGACGCTAAACGAAGATTGATTGATTGATGTTTTTTTTTCGTAAATTTTGTACTTAACATTATATATAATAATATATATCAGCATAATAATTATTATTTATAAACTATTAAGAAAATTCAAGAAAATTTTTTTTTTCGTAAATTTAAATGAAGAAAGAAATTGAAGCTTTTTCTTTCTAAATTTTTTTTATATTATTTGTATAAAAATAACTGTTTGATTCCTGTAGTAGAAAATTGCCATGTAGTTTTTTGACAACGAGCACTATATAACCTGTCTGGATCTAAAAACCTTTCCTTTTTCTGCTAATGTAAGCATTTCATTTTCTTAACGTCGAGTTATTCTTAAGTTGGTTTTCAAATTTAACAACCGAAGTTTTTTTTAAATTGCTTGCCCAAAATTTAAATTACTTTGAACGTTATGTCGGAGGTGTTTCGAATTTTAATAAAAAAAAACTGTTTCTGCGAAATGTTTTTCAATTTAAATGTATCTAAAAAGTAATTTTTGTATTGAAAAGATTTTTATCCTTCCGTGCCCTGGCAAGCATTTAAGAGCTTAAACGCATACGTACAAATTGTAGGACGACCTCTTTTGCCAATCAAAAAAATTTGATATAATGTTAAAACAAAGTTAAATTATAATTTAAATACAATGGAACAAATTTTAAAAAATTATTGAAGATATAGGGTAAAATTATTATGATTACGATATTCAAGAGTTCGTTTATCCGTAGGTTCAAGATTTCCAATAGATGAACACATCTACTTTAAACGCAAAATAAGTTGAACGTTTATTTAATACCAGTAGTAATAGAAACAATAAGTTCAAATAACTACGATAAATCACATTAATCACTTTAACGTCAACTGTGCTCCGTCATGTTCTTCATTGTTCTCCTTTCTTTCTCTCTCTCTCTCTCTCTCTCTCTCTCTCTCTCTCTCTCTCTCTCTCTCTCTCTCTGTCTCTGTCTCTCTGTCTCGAATCTTGCTTCTGCGTTGTTTATATAGCTACCAATCTGTTTGTAAATGTGTCACATGCCGTGTCACATGAATCATTTTAGTTATTTACGTCTTCTAATTAATTTAAAAGCAATTTCTGACTATTAGTTCTTATCTCGATCTCACGTCTGTAACAATATGCTTTGCTTGCTTAGGTGTCTAAAACTGATTTATCTAGTTTCAGATTCCTTTCAGACGTATGCCATTGAGTGACGGAAATGTCAACAAGGTTTTACCTCTAATCAGCTGAAAATAAATGTTAGTCTGTATCAAGTTTGGATCGGTGATTGATAGCTTTTTGCTGTCAGTGTGGAATTCATTGTCAACTAAATTGCGTTTATCCCCTCCAGTCGCAGTGCTCAGAAATTAATTGAAAATAAATTTTTTTTATCAAGCATTATTATATTATAATAATAATTTTATTGTAATCACCTGTTTATTTTAAATGCCTATTAAGTAAAGATTATATTATTACTGATCATTTCACTTTCATTTCTCTTATGAGTTATAATAATATAATAATATTTTAGCTTTTTGCTGTCAGTGTGGAATTCATTGTCAACTGAATTGCGTTTATCCCCTCCAGTCGCAGTGTTCAGAAATTAATTGAAAATAAATTTTTTTTATCAAGCATTATTATATTATAATAATATTTTTATTGTAATCACCTGTTTATTTTAAATGCCCATTAAGTAAAGATTATATTATTACTGATCATTTCACTTTCATTTGCCTTATGAGTTATAATAATAATTTTATAAAAATTTCAATAAATTTTTGCAGCTTGTGAGTACTCGGCGTTTAGCAAACACAAGCTTAAATGCCATTCAAGGTCACACACTCAGGAAAAATTAGTGGCTTGTCCTACCTGTGGTGGAGTTTTTTCAAATGCTACAAAATTTTTTGATCATATTCTTAGACAGACTACGTTTCATGGTAAGTTATTCTTTTGAGCGTACCAAAATCTAATAATAATAAAAGTAAACAAATAATAATCTAATAATAATAATAAAAGTAAACAGAATCTAATAATTATTAATTTTGAAAGTTGGTAGAAAATCGGTAAACAATTTCAGAATGGACCGGTCGACGAGGTCAAAAACAATTAATCAGGAAGAGGAGAGTAGATTAAACCCAGTGCAGGCACTGCAGATGAAAATAATGGAAGAAGACGCAAGACGAAGGGCACAACATGAGGAGGAAGAAGGAAAGTTGCGGATGAGGTTGGCGGAGGAGGAAGCGAAGCAAAAAAAGGAAAAAAGAAAGTGTTTCTTAGCTCCCCTTGACCAATTAAGGCCTGCTGGGGACTAGGAGCCGTTGTTTTTGTTTGTGATGGCATAGAATAATTTGAGGAAAGTTTTTACATCCGGACACCCATCCTGACGACAACCACCAGTTATAAGCGGTGACCTTTTGCTCAAAAGCACGCAAGGCAGCGTGGATGCAATTTTATGTCATGCCCAGGACATGAATAGTACAATCACTTTCCTCAGTGAGCCGGTGATTCTCGAGCATCGTCTCTGACACCACTGAGGACATCGTAGGCATTTGATCGAGTTGCTTCCAACTCCAGCCCCAAACACCGAACATGGCCAATGACCAAAGGCCACAGGTTCAGCGGTACCACCGGTGATCATAGTTTTTGTTTTATCAAGGCTCACCTCTAGCCGTGTTCGGCAAGTTGGGTATTTCCAGACCTCAAACTTTCTGTCTGCGTATTGTTCCGAGGCCGCCCTCTGGACGATATCCACCGGATTTGCATCAAAGTCCACCCCAATAGGTTTTGTTTGAATGACTGATCGAAGTAATCCTTCTAGTGATCTTTCACTTCATTCTGCAAGGTTATTATGGTGCCTTTATTTCCAGACAGCCATACCTTGCATTGATTTCCTGACGGACCAGCCGCTTTACCCACCTTCATTGCCTTCAACGCATCCGTGAGCTTCTCAGCTGTGATGCCCTGAATCGGTCCTTCCACCGGAAATGCGTCAAAGTCAACCACAACAGGGTTTGTTTTATTCAATAACTGATCCAAATAATCCTTCCAGTGACCATTCACTTCATACTGCAAAGTTATTATGGTGCCTTTATTATACTTTGATTCATACTTTAATTTAATCCATATGCCTGTTTTAGTGACTGAAGTTTGTGCTCGAAAGTTCATACATTTATATTCTTACAATATTCTTTATCTAAAGTGTCCAATTTTGTTTGTCCTGCTTGCATCAATCCACAAGAAC